GCGTTCGTGTATTTTGGGTATTTCGAGACCTAAGTATGGGGACGTTCGTTCTTATTTTCTAGAGTGGGGGGGGGAATTTTGGTAGTAGCCTTTAAGCTGTAACGGGTTCTAGTCTCATGTCGCAAGCGAACCGAATTGGCTCCGACCGTTTTGAGGTAGAAAAACACAAGAGATAGTGTCCCTGACTCTTGAGCCAATGGTTATAGGGCCTGTTTTTCTTAAGCCTCATATGTGACCGCAGTAGGCGACTGTTACAGAGCATCAGTTTTTTGGTGTAACGAGTGGTTTTACGAGGTTGAGTATGAAAACCAAATATGTTTGTCATGAGACCTAAATAGCCAATTTACATAACAATCGGACAATGTGATCAAATCGGACAATGTGATAAATTTACTTTTAAAAATTTACTGGGGGAAAAAGGAAAAAGAGCCTATTACTGCCTTAGTTATCTAACACTTGAAAATCATCAACTTCCTGCACGTAATAACGTAACTTTCGGCTGGTTTTTTTTGCTGAGACATGATGTTGGGCTGCCTTATACACTAATTTTGGTTGATTTTGTTCACACTGAGTTACTTAACCCTAACCCCCCCCCCCCCCCTCCCCAACCAATACACAAACTTCAAACTTCCATTTTCGTAGTTGCCTTACGTGTTGTTAATGATAAATCTACGAAATTACGATGAAAAGTATCAAGAACACTGAGTTCACAAGTGCTAATTTGCACCTCGCAAAACTGTATTGCTTTCAAGACAACTAGCAATAGGATATAGTTTCTAAAAATGGACATTGGATGGGTGGGGGGGGGTTTAGTAAAAGCTGCATAGAGAAATTAACTGAATCGATCTGAGATAACTGAGTTTCAGCATAAAATTAACCTACTGACTTTGGGCCTGTGTCTGTGCCCTTCTCCTAGTGGCTATGATTGGGATGGCGGAAGCAATGGAAACGCAGAGACGATTCAGATACAAACTTCCAGACCCAATAGGTTTGACACATGACCAACACCTGGAGAACCAGAAGAATCAGATAAAGCAGAAATTGCAGAAATGGCTCGGATAGTTTGTGTTGGTCTCAAACTGGACACAGCCATTCATCCTGGACTCAATTCAGTTCATCATGCCAATTTATTAGTGCAATAAGTGCTTTATAGAGTTTTGTACATGCAATTAAGAAAGTATTACAGACATATCGAGGCAAAAACATTCAAATTTAATGATTTCGCTGCACGCAATCGATCGCAGTGAGTATAAGATAAACAAAATATGAAGTAAGAGTGGACCTAAAACTATCATAATTGTACATTGTTGTACCCAAAATGTAAAATCTGAAAAGGTCTTGTAATGATTTTTGATTTTACCACCCAAAAATTACACTTATACAGATAAAATGAAATAAGCGCGCGTTATTGCTGCCAAGGGCATTGAATCAACCTAAAAATTTGGGGAAAAAATCGGAACAAAACACAGGGATGTTGAGCGCTTTTGCAGAAATGAAGCAAAGGTGAAAATAAAACGCACAATTTCGTTTTGGCATTCCCAAAATTATTCTCGTATTTGTAAGTTTTGAAAGCGCAATTAGGTTAATAGAAAACAGCAAGAAAGACTAGAAACATTGTAAATAACTGTTAAAAAATAGCGTAAACAAAATAGTAGAAACAAGAGTGCTCGTATATCCGGGCAAAGCCCAGAATGATCCTACTTCACCTTAATAAAAATCGAACAATTTTTGGCAAAAAAAATCGAAAAACTTTCGTCAAAATCAAAGACAAAGCATGAAAATGTTCAAGTAAAGCGATGTGCTCTGCTGCTTCTGGTCGTTCAGAAATTTGCTGTTGGCAAGTAATTCCTTCAATCGGAGTGAACAATTTAAATAAAGTAACAGTTTTCAGCAATTAACACTTCGACCAACAATAAAATCTAACTAGGTCACAATGCACCGATTTATCAGCAAATGATCGCAACCAAACTTTTGCAAAACATGGTTTTTTAAAGTCAAAAACTTGTCACTCAAGGTCGACTTGTCAATTTTGACAGATAAAAAATTGTCAATTATTGCCGTTTTATGTACAAAGCTATTAAGTTTTACAGAACAAACAAAAAGAGTTTAGGTAGGAGAGGGAAGGTGTTCTAACCAGGTTGCAAAGAGCCGATTTGTATTCCCGTCGGTAGCGTAAGCCGCACGGCCCTTGCCTTTCTAAGGACAACTTATATAGTTCAAATTGTTTATGCATATACGTTCTTAATTTACTGCCTTTAAGCTCTACTAGAAACATCCTCTGTCCCCAAAGCCGAAAAAAACCGAAGCGACTTTATTGCGGAGCCTTACCAATTGACCCGATAAATGTTTGCTGAACGCTCGATGTTTTCACTGCCGTAGTGGAATGCAGTTACTCAACCTGAAGAGTAGTGCCTACGAGGGCTGCTTGGATCGACTATCCAAATGAGATCACCAGTTCATAAGTAACTGGTCAAGTCGGCATGCAATTTTGACCGCTTAACCAAGGAATGGACGTACTCCCTCAGCCAAACCCGCCAAATAGCAATTGCGTAAGCTTGTGCTCTCACATAGCGCTTTCGGAATGGAAAACTATTAAGAGCTCAACTAAGAAGAAATGAATAGGCGTTAACGTTTCCAGTTGAGTTGAATTGGGACCAAGAGGCGATATTGGACGTGGTTGCAAAAATTCATCCATTAACTTGCAACTACCAATGATTGCGTCGATTGGACGGAAATTTAACGATTGCTCCACTAAACAAACCGTCTTAGACAATGCTTTATCCATTAACTTGCAAGTACCTTTGATTGGGTAAAAACCATGTTTTTTGGTAACTTGCTTTTTCATTGGTGGCGAAATCATGGTAATGAGATGTTATTAGAGCAAGATTGTTCCTTGATTTGAAACATCTCGATTTCTTTCAGGGACGAAACCAAACCACTCCTGTTGCTGTTCGTATGCCCATTCGATCGGTCCTCGATGGTCTACTTCCTGAGTTGCACTGAACTGCACTAAATTTAATCAACGAAACTGAAATGTGCTAAAGTCAGTGTTGCTAACACTTTAGTTAAATTTACCACCCAAACAGATCAGAAACAGCTTTGCAAGTATAGGTCTGAACTGAAACTCCGTCTTTGATACGTTGGTTTCAAGCAGAGAAAATAATTGCGTACTCGTTAAAATGTTATTTGTTACACAGCGATTTGTTCTAGGTTTTTTGTTTCCTGTTTTTGACCCAGCAGGTGTTCTCGCTCCTATACTGTTCGGGCAAGCTTTTCAATTAAAATGATCTTGTGATTCAGTGGTCAGCATTGAGACGATCCACTACCTATGGAGCTGTACTATTGCCGCTTTAGAATCAGCTCACGATCGCTAGAAGCAATTTTGAGTAACCAAGAGTTCAATTTGACCTATATATGCTTGATAATAGCTCATTGTTTTTTCAGTTGAGTTTTTCTGCATTCAATAACACAATTTTAACTTTCATTTTGGTTTGTCATCGGAAATGCGAAAATAGCGCAAATGAAGTTGCTAGGATTTCTCAAGTTTGAACTTAAGCTGCACTTCTTGCTACTCATCTGAAGGATGCCATAGAAAAAACTTCTAGCACTTCTAAAGTTTTCAAATTGACTGAACTCCTACTGCTAATCAGTGGTTCTAATCAATAAGCAAACAGCCCGTTTCCGTAGCCAATAGTATAGCCAAAATTGTGGAGTCGATATCAGTTAATCAATGATTTGATTTCTGAGTTGTGACAACTCCAATAAACCAGTAACTAGATGTTTTACTGCTGACTACCTGAAGCGAAGTAGTTGGGTCAACGACCTGTCAATCTCGAAAAGTTTCCTTTGTCTTTTCAAGCCAAAAAGAGAATTTACTAAAAAAAAATTCGTTAGATCGGTTCGGTCTAAAATCTGATCGAAGATTAAGCAGTCTCTTCAAGTTTTCCGTGCACTGCAAGGAAAACAATTAAAGC